TTGCCCCCATTTCGGTCATACCGATGGCTCTCTCTCTCTCTCCTGTGACAGTCGTGGCATTTCTTTTGTGTGCTTTCATCACGTGTGGTTATACCCTGCAGACGAATGCATTTCTACAGCTAACATGCACGTGCAGTTAATGCCATAGGCGGGAAACCTGTTTCACCATTTTTTTTGTCACCGCACGAGCGCTGTCAAAGGTGGCGCGTTCGGATGAGGTGTTTTTTGGTACCTGTTCCCGGGCAGTCATATTTCAAATACCCAATTTCAACTAGTTATCGCTGTTTTTAGGAAAATTACAAATTGCCAACCTATACTTTCTTTTGCCGCTTTGTTTATTTTGACGTGACATGCCGGTCAACCCTGTGGTGTCTGGTGACTATTGGCTTCATGGCCAGTGTATCGGCCAACAGTGTTGGAAGGGTATAACTGGTCACGAGTTCGCTTTGGGTTGACAAGCTTTGATGGTTTTAGAGAAGGATCTTAGCGAGAAATATCAGAGTGACTTCCCTTTGCTTTACACTCGCGGAGCAAATAAAATCATTTTTTGTTTGAACTATGTATGCATGTTTTAAAGTGAAGATCGGCGGTAATAAAAAAAGGTGTAATTTGTATTTTTATTTTTTTCATCATTTGGACTTTGAAAGAGTGGCGCATTCGTACACCAATAAATAAATAAAAAATGTCGCCAAAGATGTTATATATGTTTTAACATGTGCGGGATGTGAACGGCAGTAAACAACAAACAAACTTGTTTCTCTATGCTTTTACGACGTGACCCAAACTTCATTCGGGATAATGAAATGTAACGCTGATACATATTGACAACCTGACAATGGAAACCTTCTTTTGCCCCTCAGTTTATCATCAAATCATGTTGTGCTATTCAATTTGACAACGCCGTTCTCCATTTGTCATCATATCTTGTGTCATGTCTATACACAATTTGTATTTCAACAGCTGTTTTAGGATCTCCTGCAGTGATATATGCTAGCGGGCATCAAGAGTATCACAACACATCTAAATATGGAGTTGAAATCGGCGAATGTTCCAGCATCAGTTTCAAAGTAAGGACCTGTGATGACGGCTACATCCTGTTAGGGGACGGAAGCAGCAGCGGGTCTTATGAAATTGTCCTCGGAGGGTGGGGCAACAATAAAAGTGCCATTCGAGAATGTATTGCTTGTCCGGGCACACAGGAACAAACTCCTCAGCTGATAGATTGTGATTCCTACACGTAGGTGTCGCAATGTCCCTGGCAAAGTTGTAAAGTTTAGAATTGAATTGGCAAATTTAACAAATGTGTATATCTTTCATAAGCTCAACAACAAAAGTTCCTGACACCAATATTTTAGTGTATTCTGTGTGTGTGGGGTGTACGGGTGGTGGTATGGTATGGTATGGTATTGGAGTGGGTCTATGTATATGGAACCATCTGGCGCATTTGCATGTAAGCGGGCTATGTAAGTATGGGTGGTTGTACGTTTGTCCGTTGAAGGTGTGGCGTACTTGTATGCAGGTTGTGTGTACGTATGTTATGAATGCTTGCTGTGGAGTGATGGTATGTCAGTATTAGTCTAAACTATGTTCGCTTTTATGTATTTTAGATAGTTGATGTCGTATTTTAATATACTTTACTATATGTAACTTATTATTGTATACTCAACAACAAAAGTTCCTGTGACACCAATATTTTAGTGTATTTTTCAAATAAGTATAGTTTCGTGTTCAATATTGTAGTACATGTGAGGAATCAAGTCACAAAAACGCAACTGCTACAGAAAGCATGCATTCCATGCAAAAGTTGACTTTTATGCAAGCCCCATGCATTTCACTACCCAAGAATGGGTATAAAAACCTGTGCGTTATCGAGATTCCATATGTATTGTTTAGCATCGTGCTGACAACAACCACTCAGAAAAACTTTACGAAATGCCACGCCTGTCCGAAAATGAGCGTCTGCGAGCCATTGGTATGCTTGAAGCAGGATCGAGTCAACGTGATGTTGCAAGACAATATAACGTCCACAGAAACACCATTTGGTGTTAAAGGCAACGTTGGCAACAGACGAATGCAGTCAGAGACCATCCTCGGAGTGGAAGGCCACGCGTAACCAATAATCGACAAGACAACTGGGTTCGAACAACACACCTACCAAATCGATTCCAGCCAGCAACAGTGACTGCAAGAAGCATCCCTGGCCTTCGACGAATATCTTCACAAACCGTACGTAGTCGCCTCAGATGTGTAGGGATTGTCGCCAGAAGACCCGCCAGACGTCCCATTTTGACAGGAAACCACCGTCAATCACGTCTACAGCGTCTACGCTGGACGGCCATGCAGTGGGGACAAGTTCTATTCATTGACGAGTCTCGTGTTCACCTCAGCCACAGCAATGGACGGATTCGAGTGTACCGACGTCGAGATGAACGTTACGTCAATCATTGTGTCATGGAAGAAGATTGGTTCGGGAGCGGCAGTGTTATGGTATGGGGTGGGATTACAGCAAGACGTAGGACCCGTTTGATACTGGTAGAGGGAAATCTCAATGAACAGCGCTACCGCGACGAGATCATCGATCCTGTTGTTCTACCGTTTTTGCGTCGTCATGGCCCAGGCATTACCTTTCAACATGACAAAGCCCGGCCTCATATTGCTCGGGTTGTTCAGGATTCAACAAAAACAACGTGAATGTCATTCCCTGGCCGGCTCGCTCTCACCAATCGAGCGTATGTGGGATGAGATGGATCGGCGCCTTCGACGTCAACCACGTGTTCCACAGACACTCCAGGGATTTCGAAACATGCTCCAGCAGATATGGACAGATATCCCACAGGACTTTGTGCGACGCCTGGTCCATTCCATGAGACGAAGATGTGTTGCTTGCATCGAAACCAGAGGTGGGCACAAACGCTGTTGATTTGTAAATTGACACTTTGGCCTGTTCATGTTTTTTTTTTTATGAAATCACGCATTTTCTGAAGTCATAATGGCAAATTAAACCATTTGAACAATTACAGGAGTAATTTATCTGTTGCCAACCGAAATTGTTTCAGATTCGGTAAAAAACTTTGAATTAAATCTTATTCATTGTCAGAGGAACTTTTGTTGTTCAGTATATTACTTGACAGTGTGAAAAATGCATTGAAAGTATACACAAAACATTAACAACGTTCATACAGGCGATCTGAATAATCGGAAGACGGGAGTATGTAAATACACATAATGATTCAATCTACATCTGTTTCGGAGGATAATCAAGACTGGTAATTCCCTTGTATGTATTGACATTTTATATTCATATACATGAAATATTTCTTTAAAGAATTAGACAATCTACTCGACATAACTTTTTCCAAAAACAAGTGATAACGTTCAATCAATCAGCATTATTACACATAAGTTTATATATAAATGTAAACCATTATGGAGATAGAGAAGACAGACACAGGCAGTTACGGTTACAGTGCAGCCCATGGAATATACCCGGTGTATGTATATATACTGGTATTACTAGTATATTTTATTTACACACACACTTATCACAGCAGCTGACATAATTATAGATAACAATTTGCACAAGTTTCGTAGGACAGTCACATTTCTCACTGAAGAAGAATTGTCAGTTCATAGAAATTCGGGTTGGTAACAAAATATTTTTTCAGAAACATATTTCTTTCATTTCAAACTTCTTACATTAAAAAAACGTCGTGAATTTTTCACCTTGCCTTGGACAGGTTTGACAAATATTTTCCCACTCACAAGTTTCAATTAATAATAAACGGTTTGAGGTTCTACATTTTAACAAGTGGTATGATCCTTGGTGCCCAGTTAAGTCTGAAGCCATGCAATATTACAGTGTGAATTTCACACAAAGGTACCTTCAGAGGAAGATGCTACTTTTTCATTCATATATGGGAGCGACTGTTTGGAAATTCGTAGATTAACAATTTTAAACCATGTAGGTTAAATGATATTTGGAGATTGCTAGATATTGGATTAGTAAAGGATAATCAGTCATAATTTAATACACTGGAGCCATTTAAAGTGCTAGTCGTGTTTTTGTGAATTTATCAATGCTATTTGGTATTTGTTTTTGTCCATTTGTTTTCCAAATTCGATTTTGCTGATACTATTTTAGACCCGTAGCAGAGTATACGAGATTTAATTTTGTCTGTTTGTGGTAAGCGACCGGTTTCTTTGTTTCACATGTATAAGGGCGTACTACATCTCAAATCAAGTACGTACCTTTGCGATGGCACTAACATTTTCGAAACCCCATATTTCCCATCCCTAAACCCAAATAATACATATTGTACAAACAACTAAATATATTTTACGTTCAACAAATCAATATAATATCAATAACGTTTGTAAAACAAATGAATGGCTGTGTCAGCTTGGTTAATAATTCATTTTCTGGCGCTGACATAACAACGGTTACTGCTGAGGATGTCATAGCTTTTATACTGACAAAGTATTTATACTGATTTACAATATAGATATAAATATACAAATATAAAAAAATCAATAACATCACTATCATCATCATCTAGGCTAAGCGTTTTACATTCCAGTTAATTGGACATAGGTGAGTTTTCTGTCATTAATGTATAATGCAAAAATCTGTAGCAATACAGTTTCGCCTTGTCTAATACCATTTGTACAATAAATGAAATCAGGATATTTATCAGTATTCTCTGCACATGGTTTTAAACCGTTGTACATAGATTTGATTACATTAAATAGGTTACCGTTTATATGTTAGCTCAAACGTTTTCTCCAGAGAGTAATTCTCCAAACATTATCGAAAGCACATTCTGAATTATCACTTTATGTGGTATTGTTAGTGCTAACATAACAAGCTTGACCAGATTTACAATTTTGCATGAACCGATCCTAAACACATTCCTGCACTAATTTCGGAAGTTAATATTTTTTCACCTGGCTGTATCAGAGAAGAGATAAGCTGATTTCCCTTTTAAATTTTCCAGGAATTTGTGGATCGCCTGGTCTGCAGACAACGTTACTCTAGGAAGAGGAACCATACAGGGCTCTGATGTACTAGTCAATCGAGACATATCTACTGTACACAGGGTCACAACCATGAGCGTTTCTGCACGTGTTGTCGAAGCAACGTATAGCTTTGGTATATAATCGACTACGATTTGTTCTATGCTGATACAATATTCCATGCATTCTATTAATTCAACATTTAAATGAGGTGGTAGAGCAGTAGTTGCGGGTAGACAGTTTATGAGCCTGGACGAGTGAGGGACCTGTGACATAGTTTTCTGTTTTTTGTGATCTGGCAATAAAACCTCAATTACGGCCTAGCAATGAAAAGGTTCAGCTTGTCTTGGCTCAAGTATAACGTGGACAATGTATCAAGTGCCTTCGCTGAACTGTGCAATAAGACATAAAACATAGATGATTTATGGGGATGTGCTTATGTTGTCGGCTTTTGCGAGTTACATGTGTACACGTGTAGGTCCAAAGTTCCGAGACAAACATTTTGCATTTCAAAATGAATCCCAAGAAATGAGACCTTGTCTTTGGTGTTATACTGCCACTGGCCATTACCACATTTTACTAATGCATGTTCCTGTGTAAATTTATTAAATGGCCTTAACGACATATGTTTTTAATCACATAACTGCTAAATCGTCAAGGATATGACATTACATGTCACAAAAAAGACAGGTGTGTGAGTGAGTGTAACGTCGTCACGAGAACTTAGACATTTATAATAAATATATTTAGATTGAAGAAAAACATGTCATCGATGGACAGTATGATAACTATACTGAACCGCAAATAACCCGTCACCATGGACAGATATATGAGAAACCTTATTTGTATAAACATACTTGGAGACATATTTAAAAGATGAAACTTGGCATAACTGATCATCAAGGTTGTAATTAAAGTGTCAAATGTTCTTAAAATGAAACACAACACTAGTCTCTGAGAAAATGGCTTCACAAGTCAGTTTCTCGTGTGTCCGCCATGTGCGTTGATGACTGCCGTGCAACGACGATACATGGAATGGATGAGGCGGTTGATGAAGGCCATAGGCACAAGAGCCCGTACCCTGAGGAACGCCTGACGCAGTTTAGCTGCAGTTGTCGGCCTTGGTCGGACGTCATTCAGCCGTCTTTGAATCTCGTCCCACAGGTGTTCAATGGGATTTAAATCGGGTCTGAGGGCAGGCCACTGCATGGTTCTGATGCCATTCTGCTGGAGGAAGTCTCTCGTTGCTCTCGCAGTGTGGGCACGGGCGTTGTCATGCTGAAACTCGTGGTTGCGGCGACGTGCCAAATGATGTATGGCGTGTGGTCTCAAGACTTGATTAGTTGCTGTGACACCATTGCCTCTCCCTGGACCGATGTTCTGGAAGACCACAGGGCCAACCTTCTATGCAAGACCAATTCCACCCCACACCATGATGCTCGGACCACCCCACGAGTCTCTCTCAACAACACAAGCATCCTAATAACGTTCCCCACGGCGTCGCCAGACTCTCTCTGCCATCTGCTGTTGGGATACAGTAACGGCTCTCGTCTGAGAAGAGGACTCTTCTCCACTGCTGGTGGTGCAAAGCCGGTGCTGTGTTGCCCACTGAAGACGGTCCCGGCGATGACGTGGTGTCAGAATGGGTCCTCGGTGTGGCCTGTGACAGTGGAGGTGTCTGCTCGTCAATCGTCGACGCACGGTGCCCACAGTAATGCGTTGCTGGTGACCTCCCATGGTCTATCGAGCAGTTTCCGCAGCAATAACAAAGCGATCTAGAGGATGCTGTCGCATCTTGACGATCCTGACGTCGGGTGGTTGACCTTGGTCTTCCACAACGTGGTCGGTCATATGTAGTGTTGGTGGTCTGGTACCGTTGCTGGAGCCTGTATATGGTCCGTACGTGGACTTGAAATGCTTTGGCTACTTGCCGGGCGGTTTGTCCAGCTTGCAATCGTCCAAGGGCTTGGTGTCGCTGATTTCTTGTCAGTCTTGGCATGTGGTAGCAATTCAATAACGAATGAATGTAATCCGATCTGGGTGGATTGTTTTTAGGGCAAGAAATGGAGGAACGCATGTGCGTTTCAATTTGCACGGAACTGACGTGCATCGGGTTACCATAGCCATTGCCGTGATGTGTTTGGGCGATCGGTTTTATTGTCATCTGCTTTTTAAAAAAAAAAATCGGGACAAGGTAGTGTTAAGTTTTAGAAACTTTGGCAAAAATAACCCGGATATTTAAATGACAACTGTTCATGTAATGTTACTTTGGGTGACGTTTCTTTTGCGGTTCAGTATATATAATCAACGTTTCGATTTAAAACTAGTTGATAATTTTATTTTAAAAAGTTATCATTCAAGAACACTATACTATTGGGATATAGATCGCCAGCAAGCTAAGTTAGGTCACAATACAAGGGGTCGGGGGTACTTACGATACGGTTCCCCAGCAGGATTTACACGATTCATTCAGCTGCTGACGATTGTGTGCTATTTTAGCCATCAATGTGAAATGACAAATATACTACTTTTAAAATTCCGGAAACACATACATGTACTTTGAATGACTTGAAACTTATTAAGTGGACAAGCCATTTTATAAAACAAGACACTTTGGACATCAAAATTAATTAATTAATTCTGTTTCTTTTACAAAGCACAATATTAAATGATAATTAACATGACTAAAAGGTCCTTGACTGTATAAATATGTATCCCTTGTGATGGCAAAGTCAATACAGTCAAGAGAACATGCTTGACCGCGATTCTTTCATCACAAGACAAAACGGATGATCTTCACCTTTCAATAAATATTCATGTGTATATATGCTGTGGCCAAAACGACATCGTCGCATAATGACCTATAAAAATCTGAACTGACAACCCAAGTAGGTGTAACCAATAATGGGTTTCATTACGTGTTGTGCGTGCGTGCGTGCGAGCTTGCGTGCGAGCTTGCGTGCGTGCGTGCGTGCGTGCGTGCGTGCGTGCGTTTGTAAAAGACCGGTTTTATGGTGTAAGCCCAATGAGATACACTGCCGCAGTTTAACATGAATGCCCCAATCACCCACTGTACTCTACCTAGTCCCCTTGTTTTATCCCCTTAATGCCGAGCGCCAGGTAGGGTAACTATGTGTTAACGTTTCTTGAAATGGGGCCAGGGAGTTATAACTACCAGTCGGTCTCGGGCAGCTGAGACAAATACGTAAATGTGAGCACTGTTATCCTGTTGGTCATAAATTACCACACCCATATGTACACATCATGCTGATTTTGCCAACAACTGTTTAATCAATATAAATCAATTTCATTGTGCTGTCACATGTCTACATGATTACAAATGCAAAGTGCTTTCCAACAAAATAACTCTATAAATGTCTAAGCAGTTTCAGCATATACATTGACACCAATCTTTGTTCTTTTAGACAGGAATCATTTCGATTTGTATAATGCCATTGTTAGGTAAGGTTATGTATTCTAATGTAGCCTAAGAACAAGTTAGTTCTCAGTTACGATGTTCAATTATTCATTTTATTTTTAGGTGACATCCACAAAAGCTTGTACAAGCTGGTCCGTGAAAATAGCAAGTTTGAGAACGGTCTTCTGGAGGAAACACCAACTAGTCTACCGGTGTGCGGTCGTCTCTGCCATGTGCATCCATTGTGTGGGATGTTTAGCTTTGACAGCTTCAATGAAACATGTGCCCTCTTCGATAGGATGACATCCCAACTGAGCCAGGATCCTCAACATCTGTGGCAGTCTTGGGTGCCAAAGTGCTGCTAGAGACACCCATTCTTTGCACGCGTTCAGCGTTGACGTTTGCTTTTGTTGACGCTTGACTAGTAGATGTCCTTTGTGTGAAGAATACCCCTTGAGGTTTAAGCAGATTTAACTTGAATTTATGAAATATCTTACACATTTTACACAGTTGTTGGGGTCTGTAAACTCCTCAAACTATTCTTATCTCATTTGCAAGTATGCATTCACAATGTTAACTGATGTCTTTTGTGCGTAAACGTGTAAACCTCTGAAGGGAGGAAGTTTTATTTTAGGTCTACTTGAATTAGTTGTTGAAAAACAATTCTGTAAATATACTCACCGCCAAAAGAAACGCGAACCATAGAAACATATACAGAAATATGTAAGTGAAGAAGAGGTGTTTCCAATGTGTACCTATTAATGACAAAACTAACAATCAGTCAAGAGTTACCACAGAGCGTCTTTATTCTTATCACGATATGCTGCACGTTATTTCCAAACTTTACTGGTTAATCCTTCACGAGACAAATGGAGGCTCTCGAGCCATGGACCTTTGACGTCACATGTGATGCGTTCAAGAGAATCGGTTCACACAACTTAGCAGTATGTCCGTTTATGCATCAATCAATCTAATATTTTTTTAATATGAGTAAGTCTTCATATATTAACCAACGTGTATGGTATTCGCGTTTCTTTTTGCGGTGAGTAAATATTCATACCGTGAACATGTTTCGTGCTTATTTTACTGGTTGTGCTTAAGAAGCTTGAACATAATATCAGGACATCTCTGAACTATATGGTAAAAGGGAAAAATTAACTTTCAATTCACAAAACCTTAAGATGTATGTTTTTATGAGATAATTAAGGACAATTTTAAGTATTTCATTATGTTTTATATTTTCTTTTATGATACAAACATTACACCGAGAGAAACGAACGGTTCTCAAAAAGATACCTTTCATGTATATTTTAGTGAGTGATTTTGGTTAATACCTCTTTCAGTTGCAACATTTGCTCGTCACGCCAAAGGCATTGGTTCGATTCCAAACATGGGTAGAATGTGTGAAGCCCATTTCTGGTGTCCCCCGTCGTGATAGTGCTGGACTATTGCACCATATTCACTCACTAACTAACTCACTAAGTTACCACATGACCTGTCAAACCAGTGTGTAACATATTATGAACGTTTTAATAAGATGCAGCTAACAATTATGATTTCTTCAAAATCCTTTTTTACTCTTCACTTGGGGATTTAACAGTTGTCTCATGGTCAAACTTCAGGGTGCAGTAAGGTACAGTAACTGATTTTACATAACCATGTGCTTATCATCTTTCCGAGGCGGGGCCACGGGTGGCCCAGTCGTCTAAGGCGCCGCGATTCGCTGTGCAGAGTTACGTCCCCTGGACACGACAGAAACCTTTGATTGTGGGTTCGAATCCCGGTTCACCCCGATTACGTTTCTAGGTTTGTCAGCACCATACCCGTGCTCGTGGGTTTCACCGAAGTCGTAAACGTCTAAGACCTGCATCACTTCGGGCTTTCCTCCCACATTAAGCTGACACGCCGCGACATAACTGGAATAATGTTAAAAGCGGCGTTTAACCCAACTCACTCACTCACTCACTCTTTCCGAGACAAGGGAGGTAACTGACCAGTTTCTACCCTTGCCGAACTGGGCGACAATTATTGGGTATTACTTTGGCTGGTCTAACAAGTTGATATACAACAGCGATATACAACAGGCCCTATTAAACAAGTCAGTGCAAGCACTTATGTCCAGAATTACTCACATTCGAATGTCTTGAATGAAGCACGTGCTCCGTTCCTGAACCCAGGAAACAGTGTTTAAAGGTATACAAGGACGTTCAACTAATCTCAACCAGTATTATCCCAAGCAAGTCAAGAAGACTTCACCACACTTCAACCCCAACCCAAAATGACCTGTCCAGATTCCACCCCCGTCAGAATCCGCCTACCCTACACAAGACGTCTCATGAAATCAGTAGATAACTCAAGCAACTGTGACTGTAGTGCCTCGTACGCTGGTGAAACCTCCCGCCGAGTAGATACCTGCATCAAGATCATAAGACTTCAACAGCCAAAGCAGACAGCAAATCAACCCCGTCAGACCAAAAGGGTCACTAGCTATCAACTGATACCAAGTGTGTGCGAAAATGTGAGCTTATCTTTCCCCATCTGTGGCACACGTCCCATCTTAGCTCTTTACCAGGACACATAGAGATTACTACACGAGTGTCTGTCAGATACCATTGATCTTACAACGAGTTGTTTCAAAACTCGCTTTCGCTCGTTAGATACGCTTTTTAACAACGAGTTGTAAGATCAATGGTATCTGACAGGCACGAGTGAAGTAATCTGTTTCTTACACACCCTAAAATCGCAACTTTTAGCATCGAACCGATGAATTTTGTCTATTCTCATGATTGCAGGAGCGCATTAATACATAACACCACTGTCATAAGTGACGTCATCCTATGTGCTGCTTACTACTCATAAATAATGTGACCCTACACACAAAGGTTTCAGTCATATCTGTGGATTATCAAGGCGATGATGAAAATGCAAACTAGACAAAAACCAAGAACATGCTGTGTGCCAAGCTGAAAGTTTACATCTCAAAGAAATTAACAAATATGTACAACAATGTTTACTTGCGTATGACATCACTACCGGTGACCGACTGACAACAGTGCGCGGGATTTCCAGAGGAGGTTTTCGTTGATTGAGGGATCGTATACACATAAATGTGTCACGTAAGTAATCAGAAACATTCTGACAATCTGCGTACTGTTATTTGTTTACCATGTTTTCCAATGTAACAAAGAGAATTAGTCAGAAATGCAGATAACTACCGTCATCGTTGTGCGTGATTTAGCGTTAGTAATGGCGTCACACAGGACGGAAACTTTTACGGCTTCTGTTGAATTTACCACATCATTGTAATGTATATATGTGTAATTCCATAATAAGTGCATCGATACTCTTCCCATGAATATTTTCAAACGCGTGATCGAGCCAATGTATGCAACAATTAGACGAAAGTGCCTCTAAAAATGCTACACAGTGTAAAATCTGAATTTGGCCTTGTTTACATTTCAGCAAGTACAATTTTCCGAGCACAGTTTTCGTTTCCATACCTAATTTATTTTGCATGATTTCATCCGGATAATTTGCATTGGTGACAAAGACGATTTGTCATTTGGTTCGAAAAGGTATGAGGAATTCAGGGATGCATGTATAGCAGCTGAGTTTGAAAGATATCTGATCGAATAGGCGTCTCATTACCGGCATTTTGTAAACACAATCCAATATGGCGGAACGTACACTTCGGCGTTCTTGTATGCGTATTTTCCAAAACATTCTAAACGATTCTAGGCTTATCAGCGACGTTTCAGAATTATCATTAGTGATTTGATACCCGTGATCGCTAATATGCTAGTTTTCTACTTTAATTATTCGAGTAAATATCCGATATTTAGATTTCTAAACACACAGTAAATATTTATATAACGCCGTGAATTGTGATTTGGCGAGATTTACAACGTACCTAACTTTCAGTCACTTTCAGTAATTTTGAATTGCCTAAAATGACAGTAAATGATAAACAGAAGGGGGAATTCAAAACTGTGAAGTGTGCGTGATGTATTTTGAATTTTTTTTTTCGATTTCGAAGTGAGGGTTGAAGAGAAAGGACATATGTGTCGCTGTGGCATCCAGGAGGTTTACATTCTGAAAAACGATAGTGTTGACACAACAACAGATGATGTAACTGATAATAATAACAAACAAACTCGCAGCCGAGGACGAGTTTGTATATATTTATTATTAATTACACGATCCTGTTGTTCAATAGAGACGTAGGTGAACATTCGACTGAAGCACGAGCAACTTATGAATGACTTACACTCGGGAAAGTAGTTCGTCATCATCTGACCCCAGGTCATCACCATGGAGTAGCCAATCATTCGGAATTCGATGTCACACATATGTTTGATACCAGTTATCTCAAACGGGTTTCTCACCCACAGGTGTGTAAGAAAATATATATGTGCACGCGTGCGTGTTCTTCAACACATGTTTTAACCATCTTCTTATCAGTAGTACCAGTGTAGTTCTGAAGACCATATTTCATTTGTACCTTTTATCAGCATTAAACAAAATTTGCTTCTTAAAACTCAAGTAGATCGGGACTTTAGAATAAAAGGCAATTGCTTGTGCAATAGTATGTCCCAAAGAAGAACTTAAATGAGACGGGTGCCACTGAAAACTCCAAAACCTTTTAACTTGAAGCAGAACGTTTTGTCACTTTTTCTCCCATGTTTGAATCTCGCATTTTGCTCCATTTGGAACAGTTTGGGAATCCCTCAAAGAAAGACGTTGTCAAAGTAAATTAAAATCCATGTGCAAAAATTCCATCCCAAATTGCATCGCTATTTTCTAGCCTCACGCTAAGTTATCTTGCAAAGTCAAATTGTTACATCCTACGAAACAGTACAAACACACAGATTTCAAAATGTCCTTTAATCCGTCATTCCATCAGCTATAGATTTGAAGGCACTAACAGCAAATCTTTAAAAAATACACTTTTATTCAAGACATAGTGAAAGTATGAGCAGCCCCAGCGTTGCGAACGACCTTATTTTTCTCTTTGTGTAATTACATGTTGGAAACCATGCGAAGTGCTTTCATTGATAACTTAACAACAGACACGTTTTCCATAACTTACAATTTTAAAGGGAAATAAAAGGGTATGCTTTAAAACTAAGTACTTACAAACGTGCATGGTTTTATTAAATTATTTTCGTCAGTGGTTAGTACTAGTCATCTCGATGCATAAGTTTCAACTGTTCTGTGCTTTAGGGGTATGCTCTACTTTTACCCCTCTCACTGTTTCCGTTGTGTAATAATTATGTAATATGCTGTGTGTAAATTACAGATGACTATGTAAATCTCACAACTTGTACTTTGTCAGACCCGTTTGTCTGTTAACAAAATGTGTTTACTAAAGTAAAAGGATATCATCACTGGTTCCCGTTGAGAAATGTCAAATATCTTTTATTTCAAAACGTACCAAAAGTAGAGAATTTTTTTGTGTGCATTCAGTGTCATAAAGCTGACAAACCATATTTTTTTACCACGAGGCTTGGTCTACTTCAATAAGACAATAAACTCACGTAGGCAGATATCCTGTAAGCATCAGTCAAACAGACATCCCCAGGGAAAATGAAGCGACATGTTTATGCTTTGTTCCAAAGTAGACACAACTATTTCGACGTCAATGCATTGTAGCGCGGTAGACATGACGTGTTGGAGTAGCGCCAAAAGCTATATTGATGTTACTGAATTTTACAATACACTCTCTCCGCCCGAAGTATATTGCCACACTTACTTTAAGTAATGTAGGAACCGCAGCACTTTATTTCACAACGCAAAGAGTGTAAGATCAATATTTGAAATTGTTGGTTTGTGTCTGAATAAATATAAGCTCTTTCGAGCTTATGCAGTCATCAGCAATCTCATGGCCTGACATAAATTCTATACCATTGGAGAATGTATATATATATATATATATGACTTATAAGCGATAACCAATTTAATAACAATACGCGTGTATTTTACACAACGTACGCAGGGGGCTATTTAGGTTCATCAGCTGTTCGAATGACGTCGGTAGCACAATGTCTACTTTGCTCCCAAACATGTTATCGTCTCCAGATAGACATTTCTTAGAATCCCAAGCACCGAGATGCATCGAGTCAATGTGTGTGCTGCTCAAAATAACTGAAATATGGACAGTCTTTACTTTACTCAATTTGTCAGGTTCGCGAATGTTTGCAGAAGACTTTAGAACAAATACG